TGCATTTACATTTACATTTGCAGGACACAATATTTTGCTATTCCCTTGTTCTCACTGCAAGCAGTACTGATACAGAAAATTTTACTAAAATGTAAAGTAGAATAATCTCTCAAGAAAAGGAGAAAAAAAAATAAAACAAACACACACAACATAATTAAAGTGATTGTAAAGTCACATTTTAATCAGTTGCCCTCCAGATGATTTACCTCCCTTCCTGACCAGGTCATTTTGCGCAATACAGCGCTGTGTTAATTTAACTGACAATTGCGTGATCATGCAGTGCTGCACCCAAATTAAGTTTATGTCCTTTTTTCCCTTCACTAGAGCTTTCTTTCAGTGGTATTTGATCGCCTCTGTGTTTTTTATTTTTTGCGCTATAAAAAAAAAAAGACCTACAGTTTTGAGAAACAATATTTTTGACTTCTTTCTATTAAACATGTCCAGTAAAAAAATCTAATTTTGGCATAAATTTAGACCAAAATGTATTCTGCTACATGTCTTTGCTAAAAAAAATCCCAATACGTGTAAATTAATTGGTTTACATGAAAGTTATAACGTCTACAAATGGCGGTATATATACTAGAATGTTTTATATTTATATACTAGTAATGGTGGCGATCAGCGACTTATAGCGGGACTGCGGTGGGCATTCTGACACTGGGGGGAACTGACTGTCACTGACATCCCCAGTGACACCAATACAGTGATCAGTGCTAATAAAAAGCACTGACACTGTACTAATGACACTGGGCAGGAAGGGGTTAACATCTGGGACCATCAAAGGTTTAACTGTGTGCTGTTTTACTGTGTGCTGTGTGTGTCTTTCACTGTGTCAGCATACTGATTTGTATTGCACTGCTATGCAATACAAAGCAATGTGCAGGAGCTGACAGGGGAGAGATCTGTATTGTTTACATACAGGTCTCTCCTCCGTCAGTTATACTTGGCAGGACCCGGTGATCGACAGCTGAGGCTGCCAATGGCTGAGTGGGTAGGAAAATGCTAAATCAGGTATATGTGTGTGTGTGTATTATATATATATATATATATATATATATCTGTGTGTGTATGATTTTGTGCAGCCCTACTGCCTGGTAGCAGTATTTCTGCTATAGGGCAGCAGGAAAGCAGTTAAAGTGATTGTAAAGTCACATTTAAATAAATTTAAATAATGAAGAGATTAAGGCCTCCTGCACATAGGACATTTTTAACATGTTCCTTAGGCACATTTACAGGCATTACACACTTGGGCATTAATTCATTTAATTGGCCATTGAAATTAATTAACGCTCTAGTGCTAAATGCACCTAGTATTAACATGCATTTAGGCAGGCCAAGCATTTTTCTGTCAGAACGCTGCTGCCCCCGTACGAACTGGGTGATTGTGTGTTTGTGTGCATTTCCATGTAAAGAGTAAAAATCATCACTGATAATCAATAATTAGAATGTGTATACTAAATAATGAGATGACCAAATCAGCTGAACATTATTAAAAAAAAAACAAAACACATATATAGTGTGTGTGTATATGTTTTTTTTTTAATAATGTTCAGCTGGCTTGGTCATCTCATTATTTAGAATACACATACTATTTATTGATTATTACTGATGACTTATCTTTTACTCTTTAAATGGAGATATATTTTTATATCTTTTTACATTTTTGTTTTTTATTTATAGTTTTTAATCTTGTACTATTTAAAATATCTAGAAATATAGTACAGATGACGGCACTATATAACAGCACAGATTTTTGCTTTGCACTTTGTACAAATTCTATAGACTGGCTATGGATTACCATGTATCTTTCTCTCTACATACTAGCCCTGAAGAAGGGAGAGGCAATTCCCCCGAAACTCGTTGGCTCCACTTGTATACCTTTTTTTATCTTTTAATAAACAACTATAAAAATCATCAAGTGAGACATTTTATTGGACACCGGGCGCTCTACTCCACTTAAAGAACCAAAGCACTCTTTTCTTCCACACAGCGTCTTGGTTGTGAAAAATGTCCTGTTTCACCCAAAAAAATCTTTGGTTGCTTTTTGTGCATTGAATTGAGGCGCACAATATTGCGAGTGGTATAGCTGTACAATCCTGTAATACCGAGAGTTCCTTTTTGTGTAGGACGCTTTTGACTAGTTTATTTATCTGCACTGCTTGCAATGTTTTATGCTGCTAGACTTGTTTTTATTGTTTGTGTCCCTGTAATCAAAATGAAGTTTCCTGCTGATTAATTTCTGTCTGAAGTCAGTTGTCTGAAGGCCAGCATTGTTTTCATGGGTTGCAATGCTTTGATTATCTGTCTTATCCCCTCTAGTGCTGGATTGTATGTGGTTACTAGATGTAGACGTTTATTTGTGGGGTTTTTTTCTTTGAATTTTTAAGGCAGTGGTTTTTAGTGCTGGTGATTTTGTTCTTGTACCTCCTTATGGAAGGATTCTGCTAGTATTCTAAAATGTCTGCTTCTGGGCATATTTGGTGGTATCTAGTGGCTTGGCTGTGTATGATGGCTTGTTTGGTGTGTGGAAACAAGATGAGATAGTTGAATTGGACCGTGGGTTTCCTGAATATTGAGTTTGCAGTTTGTCGATACAGTGCTGAAGATGTTATACAGCTTAATAGTATGGGATCCTCCTGCGCTCATGGGAATAACTGACACAATACAGCTGCTGTCACTTTAACTAATACCAATAAGTGCAAGAAATAAACATAAAATTAGTGAAGCGCTTGTATCTCATGAATACAATCATGTGTCTCCATAAAGTATAATAGTAAATCAAAGTGACCACGATATATATTAAAAATATGTGAACTCCCTCTAGTGGATAGAAAAAATAATGTCAACCGAAATGACTATAATGGCTAAATATCACACATTAAGAACCTAAATAAGTAGTGCATAAATCAGATATACTAAACAAAGTATATATACATGAAAACAGAATAATTGGCCACATACAATGGTGTCTAAATCAAACATAACTAATATATGCCATAAGTGAAAAAGACAATATCAAAGGTGAAAAAATATTCCATGCATGTGACTGTGCTTTAAGCTGGAACACACACGTGATCTCCACTTCTAAGTGCAAGTACTCTCCTTCAAATGGCAGCAATGCCTGCTCACCTCCCTTCCTCGACCCACACAGGGCCTCAAAGCAGTTACCACCTCAGTGGTGTATTCCTCTGGCAGACTCCTTAATCCTCCTCCTCTCTTATGCAACTCATAAAAAGACAAGAAAGCCTTCCATAGTGTAGTAAGTTTTAATAGGCAAAGTAAAAAGTGACAAAGTAAACCACTCACATGCTCCTTTCCATAAACAAGCGTTTTTCCCAGCCTGTGGGTAGATATGCATGCACCTGGGGGAATCCAATATGGCCACTGTGTCCGGACATACGTCACCAGGAAGTAGACAAACCGACGCGTTGCGTCACGTGCGTCGTGACTTCATCAGGGTGATGAAGTCACGACGCACGTGACGCAACGCGTCGGTTTGTCTACTTCCTGGTGACGTATGTTCGGACACAGTGGCCATATTGGATTCCCCCAGGTGCATGCATATCTACCCACAGGCTGGGAAAAAACGCTTGTTTATGGAAAGGAGCATGTGAGTGGTTTACTTTGTCACTTTTTACTTTGCCTATTAAAACTTACTACACTATGGAAGGCTTTCTTGTCTTTTTATGAGTTGCATAAGAGAGGAGGAGGATTAAGGAGTCTGCCAGAGGAATACACCACTGAGGTGGTAACTGCTTTGAGGCCCTGTGTGGGTCGAGGAAGGGAGGTGAGCAGGCATTGCTGCCATTTGAAGGAGAGTACTTGCACTTAGAAGTGGAGATCACGTGTGTGTTCCAGCTTAAAGCACAGTCACATGCATGGAATGGAATATTTTTTCACCTTTGATATTGTCTTTTTCACTTATGGCATATATTAGTTATGTTTGATTTAGACACCATTGTATGTGGCCAATTATTCTGTTTTCATGTATATATACTTTGTTTAGTATATCTGATTTATGCACTACTTATTTAGGTTCTTAATGTGTGATATTTAGCCATTATAGTCATTTCGGTTGACATTATTTTTTCTATCCACTAGAGGGAGTTCACATATTTTTAATATATATCGTGGTCACTTTGATTTACTATTATACTTTATGGAGACACATGATTGTATTCATGAGATACAAGCGCTTCACTAATTTTATGTTTATGTTATACAGCTTATTGACTTAATTCCAACACACAACATTTTCGATAATGACATGTATCTTTAGTGTATGGATAATGCTATGGGAAGTAAAGTGGAACCCCAATACGCCACCTTATTTTTTGCAGACCTGGAGGACCATGTTCTTAACAGAATACAACAGAAGCTATATACTGTATATATTGTATTAGTAAATGTTAGCACTATATTTATATTATTTTCAACATATGGACAGAATGTGAATAAATTATTTAAAAAATTAATTTATTGCTTAATATGTTTTACTCTTCAATGAATAAAAAAACAAAAAATGGAATATTCAAGGATGACAACTCGTTTTGATCTTATTTACTCATTTCCTCACCTTAATGGCTATTCTAATTTAATTGCTATTGCTGTGTATATGTTGGTATTTTGTGTTTGTATGTGTGTGTTTTTTTTTTTTCAGAGATTGTTCTAATTAGCATTTTGCTAAAACTTAGTGTAACAGTGATGCTTGGACTGAGAAGAAGGGACCATCCCAAAAGCTTGTCTTAAAATTATAAATGTTAGTACAAGTAAAAAAAAATGATCACATGACAAATCTTGGTTGTATTAGTATAGGAATCAATATGGAGTCGGTACTTTAAACATAGATCTATGCTCAGATGAAAAAAAGTTTAAAAATATGTATAAGAAAAAATGAGCAGACTTGATGGACCACTAGATCTTTTGCTGCAGTCACATTTCCATGTTTCTCAATAACACATTTTATTTTTTTTGTAGATTAGATATGAGACTCTGCAATCATGTGGATAAAGTTAAGGAACGTCAAGGTGATAATAATAACGGTTATAGTTCTTCTTGCAATAATATGTTTTAGACCAAAAAATCAACAGGTCACAAACAAACTTACTTCAGATGTTTCAGCATCCATTTCCATTGACAGGCAATCTCACAGACTGAAAAATGTAACCTCTAAACCTATAACAGCATATACCATTCTAAGCAAAGGAAATGGAATCTTATTTGTGGAGACCACAGAAAGAATGGAACCACCATCCCTGGTCTTATGTGCTATTGAATCAGCAGCCCGAGTCTACCCTAACAGACCAGTTGTCTTCTTTATGAAAGGACTGGAGGATATCATGACAGAGGAAGATGAGCAGAGAATTCGCAAACACTTTCCAACTCTTTTACCTTTTGATAATATCTACTTCTTTCCATTGAAAATGGAGGAGCTTTTCATGTATACACCACTTATGACTTGGTATAAAAAGGTGAGTGTACTTAGGGGGGAATATGTATCTGACTGGGTTGGAGAAACCATCCCATACCAAATAGTGCAGAAATAAAGATGTACATAGTATAACTATCAACGGCCATGAGACTTCAGAATGTGGCTGGCAAGGTAGCTTTTTGGTGAATTCAAAGTAGAAAATAAAATAGGATTTTTAAACTCGCTGCAAAAGCTTTTTTTGGAGTTCAGGACACAAGATTCAGATACATTTGGGTCATACTGCTACCTATGGGACGATTTGGACACTGACCACTGACTCCTACTCCCAGCATGCCTCAGTTTTGAGATCATAAACACAGAGGGGTCCCTTAATGAACTCCAAAGAAAATGATTTTAAGCTGAACAAAAAAATCCTATTAGCTTTTTTCATGTTCATTGAGGGACACAGAATTCAGAGACATTTGGGGTGTCAAAAACAGTCAAACTGAGGGAAAAGCAACACAGAAAGCACAACATTAACAGGTCCACTTAAAAACAACAGAAAAAAAACAGACTGGCTGCAGCTCAAGGAACTGCTTGAAGGGCATTGCACCCCAAACTGGCAGAAGATGGATGTGCCCTGAACAAGAGAAGATAATGTAAAAACAGAGGACATGGTAGCAGTCTTGCAAACCTAGTAAACAGTTGCCTAATGCCAAACAGTCCAATAAGCACTCAATTATCTAGTAGAGTATGCTTTCACATATAACCTGTTTCTGAGGACCATAAGCTTGAATAATAATTTGATTGATAATAATGGTGTCTAAATGTTCTCATAAAAGAGTATCTTCCTCTGCTCAGCCCACACAGCCTACTCTTAACCATGGAGGTGTGTATTCAGGTACTGTGACCGCTGTGATTGGCCATCACAGTGGTCCCATGAACGGAAAGCTCCCGATCGCAACTATGCAACGTGACCTCACCGATCCCCACCGGCTAGGACGATGGGAGCGTACAGGGAGCATGCTTACGGTCAGGTTCAATCAGTTTTCAGAGTCAGGGTCACACCACAGGCTATGCCACAACTCTAGACCTGAAAAGTGCTCACAGCTAACTGACACAGTATACAAAGGTCTATAAAGCTCCACAATGCAGAGCTCAGTGCCCAAAGATTACATTCCAGTAAGGCCCTGCAATCATCCACTCCAGTGTGGTCTGGATATGCTGAAAGGAGTATTTGTGAGGATTTACTGATCCAGCGAAAACTTGTTCCTTTTGTGGTTCTTCTGTGCATGCTCAGGAATCCCCGGGTGGTTAAACTGAGGTACAGGTGCAAAAAGGGAGCTGGAGGAGTTGTCTTTAACTTGAATAGCTGTAATTCTCAGAGTCCCTATAGTGGCAACAACGCCCCCCCGCCTCCTGACAGCAACAGCCCCCCCCCCGATAGATTCTCTGCAGCAACAATCGATCCCTCAGTAATAATGGACCACCCAGAACAAAATACCAGCCCCCAGCAACAACATAACACCCGACAGCAACAACAGATCTCCCCACAGCCATCAATGGACCCTTCAGCAGCGAGCAACAATAGACCCTGCAGCACACTCCGTCACCCGTGGCCATTATATATATTCAGTACTGGAGGTGCCGGAACTGCTTCCCCCCTGAAAAAAAAGCCCTGCATAAAACATATACTGCATACAAGGGCATATAGCAGCCATGTTTTTGGCATGCTAATGAGCCTTTTCCTTTTCCTCATCATGGCTGCAAATTAGTCATTTCTCTGAACTCCTAATACAGCCTGCCCCATCTTCCCCTGCCCTAACATACAAAAATCCTCCTCTCCCCCCACCATCAAAAAAATTCCAAGCCACCTGACCTAAGTTCAAATGCCAGCAAGTTCATTATTGGTAATAGGTTGTTATAGGTTTGTCTTGCAACCATCCTTGACCTAAACCCAGAGTTCATCCCTATTTATTTATGAATACCCAGGATACATTTTTTGTGTATTTTTTATACCTGACCAGAGTTCAGTTTTAAAGGCCAAAGTTGTTTGGAGGTTTATGTAGCGCCACCCCCTGCAGTAGATTTATACAGCATCTTTCCCAATCATAGAGACAGCCACACACACAGCAACAACAGTCCATTCACTCCAGCTCATTGATCAGTCCATGGGTTGTTTTTTGGAAGTTTATTTGCTGGTAAAAACTTTGGAGAGGATTTCGGGTGGTGCAGGATTCTCCATAATGAAATATATTGCTTGTAAAAGACAGTTGTGTTACTAGTGTAGGTAGATTGAAAGAGTCCATAGATCACTGCTGGGGATCTCACTCACTCACTGGATCCAATACATAGACAGTCCATAAGGGAAGCCTCTTGGAAAGTAGTCCAGTAATAGGAAATACAGGACTTGTTAACGCGTTAAACACGATCTTGATTAAGCACAAGATCGTGTTTAACGCGTTAACAAGTCCTGTATTTAAGTCCTGGTGTTTTGTGTGTCCTACGGATCAATAAATACACACTATATTCATCTATCCTCTGGTGTGCGGCTGACCCTTCCTCCTAGTGCATCGTGTGTGGTGGTGAGCCAGAGCCTGCACCTGTTGTGGATCGATCTGGATTGTTTGCCTGAGCAGTATACCTTTTGTTCTTTGAAAGTAGTCCAGTATTCAGTCCATAGGGCTCCAGAGGCAGGCAGCCCCTCTCCTGTCAGCTCACTGAACCCTCCCCACAGGGGGAAAAAATGTCCTCAGGTCTCTAGACTCTTTACCAGCAACCTAGCCCCCATCTGGCCACACTCCCCAAGTATTGGCTAGGCCCTGCTGAGTATTCAGGCTGGACATTTGAATTCTCCCACCCTAAGCTCTAGAAACGTGTTCTAAAGGCAGGGAAAGAAATCAAACTTTCAGTTTGTGAAGCCCTGAGCAGAGCAAACCAAACAATCACTGGTCCTGTGATTACAGCAGAAGCCAACAATTAAATGTGCCCTAGCAGCCTAACTCAGGGGGCACTACAGCTAAGAGATTGGGCCATGATATTGTAGTGTGCATTTCTACATTTATCTTTATTCATTATTATATTTATACATTTCTGTAGTTACATAAAAAGCCTATTGTGAGACGAGGGCTGTAGTCTACAGTATATAGTTGTCATTTCATGTCTTAGAAGTAGGAAATAAATTTGTTTTTTAATAGAAACCTCAAAATATAATAACACTGCTTTTTTTTACTGGTAGCTGTTCATAATACTTATCTGAACCCCATATCGATCCAGCTTCAGCTCTCCTGGGGCTCTCTCTCCTTATTGGCTGAGACACAGCAATGGCTTCCACTGCTGTCAATCGCAGTCAGTGAGGAGGGAGCAGGGGTTGGGAATAAGCCATGCTCTGTGTGTCCCCTAGACACAAAGAGGCAGCTCAGGAGCGAGTATGCTTGAGTGCCCCCAGAACAAGAAGCTTGCTTTGGGGGCACTCGGCAAGAGGAAAGGGATAGAAGCACGAATGGGGGACCCAACAAGAGCCATAGACAAAGAGGTGGCTCGGGAGCAAGTATGCTTGAGTGCTCCCAGAGCAAGAAGCTTGCTCTGGGGGCGCTCGGCAAGAGGAAAGGGATAGAAGCACCAATGGGGGACCCAAGAAGAGGAGGATCAGGGCTGATCTGTGCAAAACTACTGCACAGAGCAGATAAGTGAACAATGTTTGTTATTTTAAAGAAAAGATAACTAAGCCTTTAGGACCACTTTAATGCATCAGCAAATGTATATTTTTAAATGCAAGTAGTGGAAATACCTGAATTTGCCTTTGGTATAAGCCTCTTGCAATCTCCTGTACAACAAAGCCCAGAATGGAAGATGGAGAAGCAAAACATGGAGCCAATAAGAGCATAGTGACAAAGAGATGAGCTCATCAGTATGCTGCTTCTGGCAGAAGTGTAGCAAAAAAAGACACATAAGGTGGCATATACCCATTGCAGGCACTGTCCCAAACATAACCATATAAAACTGATGTTTTTTTTAAAGGCTCCAACTAAAATGTTTGAAGCTTGCCAAAAAGCTTTACAGATGCTTTGCAAAACTTGTTGTACACACTGCTGTCATACAAACTGAGGCCTGTGTGGGAAAAAAAGCTTGAAAATATAATATATCCAATTGAAATTCTTCTCTTGTATGGAAAAGAACCAGGCATGCTTTATAAATTGTTTCCATTGGTTTATCATTTCTTTTTACAGGGTTAAATGAAAACTTTTAGCATTCGATACTTATTACTGCTTTTCTATGTGTTTTTCAATATATTTCCAGGTAAACCCCAAAAAAGAAAAGTACTGGACCCATGTAATTTCTGATGCCAGCAGGTTTGCTATGATGTGGAAACACGGTGGAATTTATATGGATACTGATGTCATCTCCATTCGCCCAATACCTAAGGATCATTTTGTAGCAGCTGAATCTTCCGGAGTTACCAGCAGTAGTGTTTTTGGGCTGCCCCCCTTTCATAACATGACCTGGGAGTTTATGGAAAACTTTGTAGTGGAATACAAAGGATGGAAATGGGGACATCAAGGACCAGGAGTGTTCTCACGTGTCATAAAAAAGTTGTGTGGAGAGATAGTATTTACATTTTTGGTAGATACTGTATGTAAAAATGTATTCTACTTTCATCCCCATTGTTTCTACCCAATTTTATATACATCCTGGGAAAAATTTTTTGAAGTTTATGAACATGTGCCAACTTTCAGTGACTCGTATGGCCTACATCTATGGAACTTTAAAAACAAACTTGGTCTAACTATGGTTCCTGGAAGTAATACATTAGTGGAACACCTCTATAAAAAATACTGCCCTTTCACATATGGAGCAGTTCTGAGAAATGAAAGAATTTATCTTTAAATGAGAACTTCGCTCAACATTGAGTATTTCGGAGTACACAAAGAAAATGATAAAGTGCCTTGTTGCTGCCACCACTAAAAAGATGTTAAGGACAGTGGGTAAAAGGAACTCCGTGCACCCCTATTCATCTGTTTCCTACCTTCTGTTGCAGCCAACACTAAAATCCCTAATGTCCCCTAGGGTCAGGCACTAAGAGTAATAGTTACGGTAGGTCACTCCATTGGTGATGTAACACCGCTGGGGCCTAGCAATCAGCTGATTCAAGCACTCTCATAGGGAAAGAGATCACATGCACTGAATGTTGTCTTAAACTGCAATGGAAGTAGGAGCAGAAAGAGAACACTAGCAAGGTGAGTAGGGGTTTAGGAAGGGTGCCCTGCATAAGACTGTGTTTCTATAAGTACAATCATTACAATGCAATCATTCAGTTGTCCAATGACTCCTCCTGAACATGGCAAACATTGGAAACATTTACAATTTAAAAAAGATGAGAGATAATACTCACCAGCAGGGAAGAAGTAGAAATGATCTGTAAAGTATTTTCACTGCCAGTTCTGGATAATAAGAATTGGTTTTATCATATTTCTTCCCAAACACCCTCCTCCTGGTCATTATCATTTTACAAATGTATTACTAAAATAACTTTGAAGTTGGACTTTAGTTTTTGGATAGAGTGAGAAAATTCTGTCAGACTGTTATTGTTGTCTAGTCTACACAGAGATTTCCACTTTTTCTTCTGTCCTACAGCGAGGGTTAGGCCTGGTGTATTCGATGAGAATATTAGATGAATAATCCTTTTTTTTTTTTGCATGCTAGTCTCATATTGAAAACAAGTAGGTTACTAGAGTTACCAAAATTCTTGTAAGACAGAATACATCTTCCCACGATGATATAATGTATTGTTTTGTAATGTATTTATTCATTTCCGAGCATGCACGGTCTTAGTCACTCGATTTTTTACGGATGAATACTGTACTGATTAAATGAATATTGTTCGTTCTGTTATCTTATGAGAAAAAATGTCATGCTTGTCCCTTTGGATAATTTTGCATGAACTGTCGTGATTGGCTATCGAAAGCTGTGTACTAACGATCAGATTATCGGACGATAGCTCTGAAAATGTTTTTTCTTTCATCTGATTTACTCATCATGTGTACTTGGCATTAGGTTAGGGTAATATAATCTTCAACAGTCACTGGAACAAGTGTCCTCATTGGAAGATTTTCCCTCAGCTCCTGTTCTGGTAATCTCTGTAAGGCTCTTGTTACATCTATACAAAATGAATGCTCAGCACAGTATGTGTTGAATGTGCATTATGATACATCAACCCCAATGTTAAATGGCATCTTAGTGCACATATACAATATGAATAAATGTCCCTGTCCTTTAGTGTACCACAATGCACAGCTGTGAATGCACTGTTTTGTGCGTCACTGCTCAAAACAAATGCAGGGCTTTGAGGCTTGTTGGGGTATTTGTAAAGTCACTAACATTTACTTATACTCACACTCCCTTAATAATTTGCCTACATTATAATAAGTAACTGTAAATACTTTTATAATATAATATATAATATAACCTTTTTTTTATTAGCAGTGATCACACGTTTGACTGTTTGGTCCCGATTTCTCTCATTAGCTGTGAGAGTTTGAGGTGGTGACTCAAAAAAGGCACTGGAGAGAGATGGAGACCTTTCAAGCATCCCCCGACTGTAGGTGAACCTCTGTTACTCAAACTGTGATGGGCCAGCTGAGTTGGAGGGGTTGTGCCTGCAGTAATATGACTTTAGAACTACAGACACACAAACACACAAGCCAAGATCTTACAGAGAGCATTACAAATCTGAGGTTCTAACCATTTGCCACCCTATCTAAAACCACTAAGGTTTTACTTAAAGCAGAGTTCCACCCAAAATGGTAAGTTCCACTTTAAAGACTAGTCCCCCACTCCCCATTAAGGATTGGCACCTTTGGGGAACAAGTGGAGGGGCAGCGTGTACCTGAAATTGACAGGTACCTGCTCCCACTTCCGCTGCGATGGGAAGCGGAAGTTGTCCTCCTCACCTCCACGTAGTCTTCTGAGACACATGACAGGTTCCAGAAGACTATGGGACCATTCAGGAAGTGCAGCGCTGTGGGCACCCGGCTGTGAAGACGCAAGCTGTCACAGCCGGGTGCCCACACTGAAGATGCCTGCACCTGGACCACCAGATGGCTGGTGAAACGGGCTGTGGGGAGGACATCACAGGATCGTGGGACAGGTGAATGGCTGTTTTTTAAAAGTAAGCAGCTACAGTTTCTGTAGTTGCTCACTTTTTTTTGCATTGAACAGATGACCTGATATAGTGCCAAAGCCATTCTTTTTTTGCCAATCAGTTGATCACAGATGCAATGCTGAGTAGGCTAACATGAATAACATTAGATTTGCAAAGTAATGTAAGTGTTTATTTTGTAAACTAAAAGATAATCCTGTACTCAAGGCCTTATCCTGTAACGTGACACATGAGTGTAAAAAGGAGAACTGTGCCACAAAGGATACATATGGCTTAATTATTTAAATTCTTTTTTATCTGTATAAAGCAATGGATCCTCTGTGAACCCAATTCATATACATGCAATGCTGCATCTAGTGCATATGATTCAGTCTACACACCAGTAGAAAATCATACAAAGTAGAAAATGAGGTGGAATTGGTGTTACAAATGTCAGATGACCTAAACCAATGTTTTTCAACTCCATTCCTTGGGAACCTTCAACAGTTTGTGTTTTCAGGATTTCCTTTAGCTGTGGTAATTACTAAGCCAGTGATACTCCTACCCAGTGTTGGTGGTCAGTGGGATCGAAACAATGGCCTAGCAATCCCCAGCAGTATATTATTCTCCTTTTTTGTGTCAGTGGATGAAATTGCACCCCATCAATGGTTTTAGTGGAAAGAATTTAATTCATGCTTGGTGTCAGTAGGAAGAATTATGCTTTACCATTGGTTTCAGTGGAGGATAAGTGCCTCATTGATGGTGTCAGTGGGAGGAATAATGCCTCAACAATAATGTCAGTAGGAGGAATAGTGTCCTATTGTTGGTTTCCATGGGGGTAATAGTGCCCCAAAGACTGGATAAATGCAAAGGACCACATTTGTCCACGGAGTTTGGGGACCACTAATTTAAAATATATTTAAAGCCTAAACGTTTTGTTTTACTTTAAATAAATAAAGTTTTTTTAGTTTTAAATAAAAGTAGTGGGGGCTTTGAACCTCTGTCCACTAGAAAGAATGACCCTCTAAATTTGCCCTGGTGATTCACTGTCACCAGTACTGAAATTGAAAATCCCAAATTTTGAGTTGCCACCAGAAAAGGAATAGAGAGGACACTTGGCCCAGTGACAATTGTCCTAGCAGAGATTTTGGGGGAGATATATGTGCACTCAGAATTTTATGCAGCTGTGTATAGTAGCCAATCAGCTTCCAGGTTTTATTGTCAAAGCTTAATTGACCAAGCTGAAGTTAGAAGTTGATTGGTTACTGTGCACAGCTGCACTAGAATCTGTGTGCACCAGTTTTAGAAAATCTCCCCCATTTCCTCATCTCAGATTCTTTCCCTTGCAACTACTGCACAAGAAGTGAGGGCAAATCTCTAAAATGGGACACAGTTGGTAAAAAAAAAGTCTGAAAAGTGTTTTAACCAAAACCTAATAATAACAAACAGTGGGGTTGATTTACTAAAAGCAAAGAGGCCATTCACTGTACTAGAGAATTTTCCCCAGTGCTTAGAGATGGTAGTGAAGTTTCATTTTGCAAAGAATATCCAGTCATATGATAATAGATGCCAGTAGAGCTTCACATCATTTTCGACAGTCGGGGGAAAGTTCTCATGCAAAATGCAACTTTCCTTACAAACATAGATACATTAAATAAGGGCCGTTGGATTTGATTGGGTCCCCCTAAGCTTTGCACAGTCAGGCAACACACTTTCAGAGTCAGTAAAACAGTCTTTGGGCTGGTTTTTCATTGTTCTTTTTTTAGGGGTTAACAACTTGGTTGGAGTATAGGGGTATATGGGATGCCCAAGGAACTGTAGAACTTGAGGACAAACTTCTTAGCAACTATGTACAAAAGGGAGGAATGGCAAAATAAAAATGAATATAGCACTGTCCATTTTTTTTCCTCTTGGTGTATCCTTCTCAGATCCCAAATGAATCCCCCTGTTCACCCAGCTGCGCTGAAGGTATAACTGAGCAAGGGGGTCCCAAGAGCTTGCAGGTGAAGACTAGTTTGGTATTGCATTTGCCCGCCCTCTCCCTTTATCTAGCCCAGGGAGTGTAAGAGTACTCACACTGTCCTGTCCTGTCAGTGTGGTGGGTTGGTAGTTGCTTTCAGGTCTTTCACTGGGCTGGCTCCTTCCCTGCTGATCAGGATATCCTCCTCAGGAAACTCTAGGCAGTGGAGATCCTCCTGTCCAGCAACCAGCCTGTAGGTAGGCTCCCCTCCCTGGGGCCCTCTCCTAGGCTCCACACTCCTGGTCACAATACCCAGCCTCCTGCTAGGGGGTTGGCCAAGGTCCCTTAAACATGCCATTCTTATTTCTTATTTTTGCTCTGCTACTAGTTTTTTGATCTTGAATAATTGATTTTTGCTTTGCATTTTACTTTTTCATCTGGCTGATTTGATCTTGTTTACAAAAAAAGGTTTAGCATAGTCTAACAGGATAGGGCAATGCAGAGGAGGTACTCTCCCTGAAACACATTCCATACCCGTAATGTCTTACCTGGAAGTGGGCGGAGCCAAGTGAGCTGTTATTGTACCCCACTGTGGATGCTTGGCAGCCCTTTACAGCCTTTGGGACTTTGCTGTTACTTTCAGCGCCATCAGTGGTGCTGGTGTTTCTGAACACAATTTTTTATCTTTGCCAAAAAAAATCTGAATTCTTATATTACTACAATATGGTGGTGTCTGTGCTGCTCTTTCATGTTTTTGCACATTAAGCATTGTGTGTATTTATTTTTACC